GCTACCGCTTGAGCCACATCCCCAGCCCCATAACTATCTTGATTTAGGCTGTGAAGCTGTGTCCAGTCAATCTCTCAATAGGGCATCAGGAGCCTGTCCTGTTAAGGATTCAAGTCCTGCTTCTGTCATGGAGACTGTGTAACCTTGGCTAATTTCCTAGCCTTCTCTGGGCCTAAGAACTCAAACGCAGTCTAAACATTTGCTGGGCCTGGTTTCATGGCTCCTCTTTGTCTCAGTCTAGAAAAGCCCTCATTGCCCTCAGGACCCACCCATCTATCTTCAGGATATTTGTAGCATTTCCCTGCACATACCCCCATTCCTCTTCCCAGGAGCACTGTGTAGGTTTTAAATCAGGCATGCTTGGGTTCAGTCCCTGCATCTAAATCAACAGATGACCTGAGTCAAATCATTTCATCTTTCGGAGCCTTGGTTTCTCCTTTGCCATGTGGCTGAAATGACTTGACAGTGTAAAGTGCTTGATGCTGTTCTTGTCTCTCTGTATTGTCAATCAACAAAATGCAGCACCTTCTGTGTGCCAGGCCCTGAGGAAAAGAGGGCCTTGCAGGCCCAGTAAGCAAAGTGAAGGCACTGAAGATTTCAAAGGCAGGAGAGTAACATGGTTGGAATTGTTTTTGTTTTCTTTTTTTTCCCCTAGTGCAGTGCCTGGGGATTGAACCCAGGGCCACACAATCTACCACTGAGCTATACCCCCAGCTCCAGAGTTAGGTTTTAAAAGATGACCCTGGCACCAAGTGAAGGAGGAACCAGAGGAGGCAGAGTAACTGTGGGAAGACCTTTTAGTGGGTGGCCTTAATGATCTACAATGACCAGAAGGCCACAGTCTCTTTTAACTTACAAGAGAACACACATTTTGGAAGTGTGCAAATCCATCAGATTCCGGGGAGATGATGGGCCACATGCAGTGAGGAAGCTAGAAAAGCTGGGCAGGGCAAGGACACCAAATGTGTTGGACTCTCAGTTTACCCTGAAGATCCACTTTGCAGCTGGCACCTCCCTGCTGCAAGTCCCTGTGTCCAGCTAGAGTCCTGGGAGCAGGAGGAGACTAGGGTAATAACTGTTTCTCCAGTTCCTTCCCTGCAGGCTGTAGGGGAAGAGGCACCTCAGGTGTCTGCCCTCCCTCCAGCTCCAGCTTCTCCCCAGTTGGACTCAGGGAGTGATGGCTCCCTCTCCTAGCCCTCGGTGGTGCTAAGGGCCTCCCTCTGTTGTTAGCTCCCAGAGAGGTGGTTCCCTTTGCTGCTCTGCTGGCTTGCCTTGCTTGAGGGCCACTTCCTGTGAAGGCCCTGAAAGCTTAAGGAGTTTGATGATGACAAGAGGCAACTGAGCACCGCTGCACGCTGAGCTGGTGGGTGCTTTCATAGCTCTGCAGAGTCCCCTCAGCAGCCCCTGAAGAAGGGCTATCTGTCCTCATCCTTCTCCCAGCACTATTTTACATGTTCTCCATGCCCTCCTTCTAGAACATTCACTTATCTTGGCCTTTCTCACACCAGCTCCCTCTGCTGCTGCATTTGGGTCTTTGGGCTGACTCTGCCTCCTCTCTGGGGTCACCTGGGGCTGGTAACCTGCCTGGTTCCCACTGGGCCCTCTTCTCTTCCTAGCTGAGCATCCATGTGATGAGGACCGAGCCTGGATCCCCGGGCATATGTCCTCTCTAATCTGGTTTCAGGCGTCTCTTCTGGGATGACATAAAGTATCTCAAACTTAGCAGGTACAACAGAGAGCTGAGGGCCCTCTGCCCCCCCACACCCATATGGGCTCAGGTCACCTGGGAGCCATTCATGCCACTTGCCTCTCAGGCACCCTCTGCTTCACAAGCCCTCAGATTCCACCTCCCAAATCCATCTCCACACAGTCCTCATGATGCCATCTCCAGGGATGAAGGCAGAGTGCCCTGATACAGTAAGTACCCTCTCAATGAAAATTAAACCCAGATTTCCCACCATGCCCCCCGACCTCACCTCCCTCCCCACCTCACCTCCCTCCCCCACTTTCCTCTCTCTCCTGTTACTCACTGGCTTTCCCTCAGGCCTTGAAAGAACTAAATTTCTTTCCCACCCCTTTCTTCTACACGCCCCTTTGCAAACAGTCTCTTCTTTGGTTTCCTCTGCTTCCTCAGCCTCCAGCAGGCATCTCTTAGATCCATCCTCCAGTCCCTGGTGCAAAAGGCCTTTTGGCAGAGGATCTTCCTGGGCCCCCAGGTCCCACTGCCACTTTTGCCGTCAGATACCTGCTCTTCTCTGTCACAGCACCTCCATGGTGGCCACCAATATGTGTGAAATGACTTGTCCCATGTTCATCTGCCCAGTATAGAAGCTCTGGGAGGGCAAGAATTTTTCTGGTGGTAGGCAAGAGCTTGGCATGTGGTAGATTCTCAATTTGGTGAATGAATAGATCACAGAAAAGCAAACTGAGGCTTAGAGAGATCAAGATTCCAAGCAGTCTCCTGGACCGTTTGTGCTGGCCAAGGTGAGCCACAGTCTGCTCTGGGCGGGGAAGGGTCGGGTTCAGATGAGTATGAGGGAAAAAATGAATATAAAATGCTCAGGCCACGCCTGGCAGGTGGTAAGTGGTTAGTATTAATCCCTGCCTCAGAGTGTGACCAGAGCCTAAGGGAGGGGGGGCTCCCCCCTCACAAGCCTTCCTGGATTCCAGTGGCAGAGAATCCACTGGGGACACAGAACTGYCCCCTTCCAGCCCTGCAGTGACACAAAATATGGAACAGGGCCTGAGCCACTGAGCAATTCAAGTAGGGCTCACCTCAGTCCCTCCAAAGCCACCCAAATAAAGTCACCCTCAAAGTAAAAGCCATGAGCTGTCTGTTCAGGTGTGCCTGAAGGTGAGCACATCCCCTCTCCCAGGCAGATTGCCAAACCTGCCGCTTTCTTGCCCTGCATGGGTACTTCTGACCCTGGTCATGAGGCCCCCTAATGGATTCTGTGAGTCAGACACAGGATCCTGGGGGCTCCTGGCAGTCCCTTGCCTTATGGCTCAGGGTCCCTAAACCCCAGTCTTTCTTCCAGACCAGTCGATAGAATTGGCTCCTCTCTAGCCTTTTCCCAACCCAAGACCCCTCCTCAGCCTCTGCCAATCCCTGTCCTGGGCCCTGCTGGGCCCCTCCCCAGCCCCCTGGGCCCTTAAGCAGCACCCCCCTCCTCCCGGCTGTTAGCCTGGGAAGGGGGCCAGGTCCTGAGCTCAGACCTTGGCGATTCCTGAGTGTCTGAGGCCCCGAGCCAGCCCAGCCAGCCAGGCCAGACAGGGAGGGGGGAGTGGCAGGGTGGGCACCAGGAAGCCTTCTAAATGGGGGAGGGGGACTTGGCATGGAAGCTGGGTTTCTAGCCTTTTTCTTTCTGTTTTTCTTCCCCACCCTACGGACTTCTTCCTGGGACCTGAGTCTTGGCCAAAAGGTGCCCTTCCTGAGTCCTTATCTCAGAGGGAAGTGGACCAGTACTAAGGAGAAGTGACTTGGGGGCGTGATACCCCCACATGTGCAAGGGCGGCTGCCAAAGAGCTGATCAGCCTGGGTCCCAGCCTCGCTCGACCACAATCCTCCGCTTGACCCTGGTCAAGGCCCATCTTCCTCCCCCAGCCTCGGTTTCCCGCTTCGACCGGGCGGGGCGCCTAGTCTACGCGGGCCTCCCCGCCCCGCCCGGAGGAATCTGGCGGGACCGCCCGTGCGTCCCAGGTGAGGACTCCCTGGAAAGGGCCCAGCGCGGTTCCGGCGGGGGCGGGCATCTGGGGCGAGGAGCGCCCCGCKTCGGCCCGCCAGTCCGCACACTCGCGCTCCTCCGGGCGGCAGCGACGACGCTTTAAACAGAAAAAAACTGTCTCCCTGGCCCGGGGCCAGCGTCCCAGCCCCCCTCGCCGCCGCTGCGCCTCGCTCCAGCCAGGGAAAACAACTGCTCACTTCTCCTGCGTCCTCCCCGCGCGCTCCCTGCTTCCCGGCGGCCGCGGAGAGAAGCCCGGCCAGGGGGAGGCGCGGAGCGGGCCGGCCGCCCGGCCTTCCTCTGCCCTCGCTCCTCCTCTCCGCCTCCACTTGCTCCGGTCTCCGCTCTCCGGCCTCAGTTCGGGGCCTGGCTGGGCTTCTCCCGGGCCGAGAAGTTTCTGGGCTCCCCGCAGTCCATCCTCCATCTCTTGGCCTCGCACTGGGCCCCCGCCCGCGCCTGCCGTCCCCTCCCTGCCCGCTCCCTCGGCTCCTCTCCCTCGCTGCCCTCTCCACCCTCGTCCCGGGCTCCCGGCTCTAGATCCCCGCCGGCGCCGGCCCCTCCTCGCCCCCGCCCGGGCGCGCCCCCCGGGGTCAGCGGCCCCGGATGCCCGGGCCCCGAGGGGCTGCTGGAGGCCTGGCCCCTGAGATGCGCGGGGCGGGGGCGGCGGGGCTGCTGGCGCTGCTGCTGCTGCCACTACTGGGCCCGGGCGGCGGGGCCGAGGGGGGGCCGGCCGGCGAGCGGGGCGCCGGCGGGGGCGGGGCGCTGGCCCGCGAGCGCTTCAAGGTGGTCTTCGCGCCGGTGATCTGCAAGCGGACCTGTCTCAAAGGCCAGTGTCGGGACAGCTGCCAGCAGGGCTCCAACATGACGCTCATCGGAGAGAACGGCCACAGCACCGACACACTCACGGGCTCCGGCTTCCGCGTGGGTGAGGGCCAGGGGCTCGGGCTGGGGGAAGCCGGGAAGGACAGGCGCCAGGACCAGGTGGGACACCGAGTGGAGCCTCATGCATAAAGGTGGGGAGCTGGGGGTACAGAGAACAGAGATCTCGGCCCCGAGGGCATTAGTAGCTTGGGAGACTGCAATCCTGAAGGCCAGAGTTGGAGGACTATGGAGGCCTGGCCTCTGAAGCTTTGGGTTAAGGTTGGGGCCTAGGATGGGGTCCTGGATGACACCAGCTTCCTGGAAGGTGTGAGTTCTGAGAAGGAGTGCACAGGTTTTTCAGAGATATGAGCAGGGCAGAAAGCCTGAGAGAGAGAGAGAGAGAAATATTTTCCTGTCTTTTAAAAATGTCTAAAGCAGGCCCTGCCAGGAGTAGACACCTGTGTTTTCTGGGAGGAGGAGATAAGGTCAGGACTGGRGGTGAGGGCATCAGTCATTGGCAAAGTCTGAGAGGAGGGGGGTTGAGACCTAAGACATGGGGTGCAGGCCTGGAGGTGGGGACTGGTTTAGGTCCTCAGTCCCTCCTTTTCCTGTGTCTCCTGTAAACTCTCAACATCTCTCCCTCAAATTTACTCAGAGTCTCCCCACCCTACCCCAGGCCCTTAGGACCTCCCCTTCAGCCCAGAGCCCACCCTCTCTACAGCTCTCTGTTCACAGGACCAGGCCTGGGGCTTGGGCCTCCTCCCCAGGGCCTGTGGGCCAGGCGGGGGGAGGTGTCCCAGCAGTAATTACCCTCCTGGACAGGGTAATTAGGCCGAGCCCAAGATGGCACCAGCAAAACAGCCCCTCTCATACAGTCCCCTGCTCACTCACCCACTCCAGACCTGAGGAACCCTACTCCAGGGGTTCACAGTTCCCAGGAGATGGAGGGTGTGTGTGTATGTGTGCGCGCACACACACTCGTGGTCCCTGTGTGTAGGGAGCAAGATGAAGCTTTGGAGTGGCACACTGTGATTAGTCTGGGCCTTGTGTTGCTGTCTCCGCGTGTCTAAGTCACTGTCCGGGAGTGTAAGGGAATGTTTACCTAGTGAGCCTTGATGGTGTCAGGAGTCTCTCTCTGTGTGTGACCTGATGACTGTATGTGAGCATGTGTGTGCCTGGCCTCCCAGACCCACTAGCCATCCTGTGCAGGCCGCTGTCTCCATCCGTGCTGCCCACATCCCCCAGGCTCAGTGCCCAGGCCACAGTGGGCGGGTGTCACTGGGAGGTCACTCTCACCACTATGGGTGACTCACTGGGAGGCAGGAAGGAGAGGATCCTGCCTCCCCAGGCCCAGGACACACCTCTTCTGCCCTGGGAGGCCTGGTCCCCAGGGGCCGGGCAGGATGGGCTGGGATGCTCAGCCCAACCCCCATGGCCAGGAATGAAGGCTGTCCCTATAAGACCCTTTCAGGTGTCCAGGAGAGCAACAAAGCCACCTTCCYACCTGGGAAGTGAGGGCAGCCTTAGCGAAGACAGGAGCAGGGCTGGATCTTTCTCAGGAACTCAGGGCTCCAGACTAGAAGCACATGTCACGTGTGACTATGTGACAAAGCAACAGAAAGTTCTCACCTCTTGCTCAGTCACACCTACATTCATCCCCATGAACCTCCTTTGAGACCTAGAGCTAGGGCCCACCAGGCCCTGCTCTCCAAAGAGCAGAGGTAGATGGTTTAAGGTTCTGGCTGTGCGAACCTCCCATGTCTAGGCAAGGACAAAAGCAGTGAGCAGAGGTGTGCCATGTCAGAGTTTAATCTGAGGGGGCATTCTCCAGGGATTATGGGATTGCGGACAGGTAGGAGGGAGGCAAGAAGCCATGGAGGGTCTGAGTAGCAGGGCCAGAGTYGGGAAGGACCAAGGCCATAGGAAGCAGGGGCGATGGGCTCATGGGACATTACTGAGACTGAAAGGTGGAGCAGGCAGGAGCAAGAGGAGTGGAACCTTGAGGGTCACTTATGCACAGTGAGCCCAGGTTCTGAGGTACTGATTTCTAACAGTATCCCTGGTGTAGATGCCCAAGAAAGGTCCTGGTGGGGCCATAGTTGTATTCAGAGATGGGACATCATTCGCAGTGATGAGGTGGGGGCTGGAGGGGCAAGGTAGAAGGCAGGGGAGAGACGGCCAGTAGAAAGAGAGGCTGAGGCCTGAATTAGGGGGAGAGTGGAGGGAGAAGAGGAGGAGGCACTAGGGAGAACTCCCATGCCCAGGGAAGGCTCCAGAGGAAAGCCAGAGGAAGAGCAGGCTGCTCCCTCCTGATGGTCACCATCATGTGCTACTTCTCTGTGTGAACTGCACTGGGCTAAGCATTTGTACAGTTCTTGCCTCACTGAATGGACACATCTCCATGCACGAGGGCACCRTAGCAAGGGCAGGGGAAGGAAGTTGCCCAGGGTCACACATCTGGCTCACGGCATGGCTAGAATTTAAGTTAGAAACTTAAAACTCCAGAACCCACCATGGGTATAGKGTGTTGGGGACCTAGAGAGGGCAGTTTCCATGTGTGGGATACATTTTCAAATCCAGTTTCCCAAGAAGGATGGAGCCAGTGGGTGACAAGGAAGGTGGGGGAGGGGGGCAGGACGTGGGAGAGGGGAGGCCTGTGGGCTGGGCTCAGCACAGGCCCTGAACCACCTCCCTCACCCCCAGTGGTGTGCCCTCTGCCCTGTATGAACGGCGGCCAGTGCTCCTCCCGAAACCAGTGTCTGTGTCCCCCGGACTTCACCGGGCGCTTCTGCCAGGTGCCGGCTGGAGGAGCTGGCACGGCCACCGGCAGTTCAGGTCCAGGGCTGGGCCGAGCCGGAGCCCTGTCCACAGGCGCGTTACCACCCCTGGCTCCTGAGGGCGAGCCTGTGGCCAGCAAGCACGCCATCTACGCGGTGCAGGTGATCGCTGACCCTCCTGGGCCAGGGGAGGGGCCCCCTGCCCAGCATGCGGCCTTCCTGGTGCCCCTCGGGCCAGGGCCAGGACAGACCTCAGCAGAAGGTACTGAAGGATGGGCAAACCCGAGGGGCTCGAGGTGGGCGAGCWTGGATATGACCAAACCCTGGCGGGGGGCAGCCCAGGAGAACCTCAGGGCTGCAACCCCCCTGACAAGGCAGCCCTGAGGCCACCGCATCCCGCCCCCAGTGCAGGCCCCGCCCCCCGTGGTGAACGTGCGTGTCCACCACCCGCCCGAGGCCTCCGTCCAAGTGCACCGCATCGAGGGGTCCAACTCTGAAGGCCCGGCTGCGGCCCAGCTTCTGCTGCCGCACCCCAAGCCCCCGCACCCACGACCACCCACCCAAAAGCCCTTGGGCCGCTGCTTCCAGGACACSCTACCCAAGCAGCCAGTGAGTGAATCCACAGTCCCAAGGGCACCGCCCTTTGGTTTCTCAGGGTCTACCTGCCCAACTCATTAAAATTGCATAAGGGTCTGCAGGAGCGGGACAGGGAAAGGGCCCCAGGAGGGAGGTGAGTGAGGGCAGGGCACTCTGTGACCTTACCCCTAACCCCTATCCCTAGTGTGGCAGCAACCCCCTACCCGGCCTCACCAAGCAGGAAGACTGCTGCGGGAGCATTGGCACCGCCTGGGGCCAGAACAAGTGCCACAAGTGCCCCCAGCTGCAGTGTGAGTGCCTGGTCTCAGTGGGGCTCCCCCACAGGGCCACCCATCCCATCCTCCTCCCACCTCTGCCATAGAAGTCTCCAGCCCAGTGGCCCCAAATTCCTCCCTCCCTTCCCTCTGGCCTCCCCCTTGGCCTCTTTTCCCTCCAGAGACCTGCAGTATCCCCCTATTCCCCTGCCATGCTGTCCTCTCTCTGCAGACACAGGGGTGCAGAAGCCTGGGCCTGTCCGTGGGGAGGTGGGTGCAGACTGCCCCCAGGGCTACAAGAGGCTCAACAGCACCCATTGCCAGGGTATGGCCAGTAGGAGATTCTGTGGGCTTGGGGAGGGGCGGACCTGTTGTGGGTGGGGAAGGTCTCAAGGTGGGCAAGGGAAGAGACAGAGTTGGGGTAGGACTCTGAGGGTCTTGGAACAGCTTGCTGTCACCTTATGACTCCAGACTAGAGAAACCAAATTCTCACTTACCACAGACATCAACGAATGTGTGATGCCAGGCATGTGTCGTCATGGTGATTGCCTCAACAACCCTGGCTCCTATCGCTGCGTCTGCCCACCTGGCCATAGCTTGGGCCCCTCTCGAACACAGTGCATTGGTGAGACAGGGTCCTTGGAGGTTACGAGGCACAGGTGGGAGGGGAGGAGCTCCCAGGATTGAGAGTCAGGTCAGAAGAGATCAGAAGGGGGTCATGCATTGACTGCAGCAGAAACAAAACCCAGAGAAGACAGAATCAGTGATCAAAGGGGTCAGAGGACATATGAGATCTTAGGTTAGAGGTCATATGACATCAAGGCTTATATGAAGTCAGGGTCCTATAGATCAGGGCTTAATGGGAAGGGGGGGGTAAAGTCCAGAGCAGCTAGAATCGGGTCAATAGTCTTGTAGATTTCAGGAGTCACATTAGCCACATGGGGATGGGCTAGAGAAGTAAGGTCTGGAGCAGATGGACAGAGGGATGTGAGCAATAGTTGGTCCCAGAAGCCCATGCTGCCCACTAMCCCCTGCAGCAGACAAGCCAGAGGAGAAGAGCCTGTGTTTCCGCCTGGTGAGTCCTGAGCACCAGTGCCAGCACCCCCTGACCACACGCCTTACCCGACAGCTCTGCTGCTGCAGTGTGGGCAAGGCCTGGGGTGCGCGGTGTCAGCGCTGCCCAGCAGATGGCACCGGTATGCAGGGGGCTTGTGGGGTGGCAGGGGTGGGGGTGGGGCGTTTTCTGTCTGGAAAACACCCACTTTTGTGTCTGCTGTCTTGACCACAGCTGCCTTCAAGGAGATCTGCCCAGCTGGGAAGGGGTACCACATCCTCACCTCCCACCAAACCCTCACCATCCAGGGTGAAAGTGACTTTTCCCTTTTCCTGCACCCTGATGGGCCACCCAAGCCCCAACAGCTCCCTGAGAGCCCCAGCAGGGCACCACCACCTGAGGACACAGAGGAAGACAGAGGTCTGGCTTGATCCCTTGACCCTTGATCTACACATATGACCTCTCAGTCTAAGCCCTAACTCCTAATCCCTTTCCTGAAACACTGATCCTCCCAGACTGGACCCAGAAATTTGACCCTGGGGCATAGCCTCCTAAGCCTTGATCTGTAACCCAAGGACCTCAACCATTGCTCCTCAGACCACCAAGCAACACAGCCTAACTCCAGGAGCGATCTCTAGACCCTTGACCCAGAGACATGACTGTTGGACTCTTAGAGACCCTAACCATAGCCTGAAACAGATGTGCATGCCCATAATTCTTGCAGTTGGAGAGGCTGAGGTAGGAGAATCACAGGTTCAAAGACAGCCTCAACAATTCAGAGTGGCCCTTAAGCAACTTAGTGAGACCCTGTCTCTAAATAAAAAATAAAAATAAATAAAGGGCTGGGAATGTGGCTCAGTAGTTAAGCCACTCTGGGTTCAATCCCTGGTACCAAAAAAAAAAAAAACAAAAAAGGAGGGACTAGGGTTGTGGCTCAGTGGTAGAGTGCTTGCCTAGCATGCACGAGGCACTGAGTTGGATCCCCAGCACCACTAAATGTAAAATAAAGATATTGTGACCCACCTAAAACTAAAAAATAAATATTAAAAAAAGGAGAGAGAGACCCTAAGCATACAGATGTGACTCACACCCCAGTGTTTAATATCCCTATTTTTTCCCTTTTAGGGGTGACCACCGACCCAGTAAGTATGAGAACCCAGGTGGGAGAGGCAGGGAAGGTGAGGGACTCAGGTAGGGTTTATGCTGCTGTCACCCACAGCCAGTGAGTGAGGAGCGGTCTTTGCAGCAGAGCCACCCTACAGCCACCACCTCTCCTGCGAGACCCTATCCAGGTGAGCTGGGCGCTTCAGGGAGCAATTCTCAGGGGCTAAGTCTGGGGTTGGGGGAGTTAACAGCCTAGGCACTGGGGGGCAGTGAAGCTGGGGTAAGACCTGGGGGGACAAGGGAGGCTCAGTCTCTTAGGAGCCTTGGGTGCTGCCTGCAGAGCTGATGTCCCGCCCTTCACCACCTACTATGCGCTGGTTCCTGCCGGACTTACCCCCCTCCCGAAGTGCGGTGGAAATCGCCCCAACTCAGGTCACAGGTAAGGTCTGCTTGGCAAGGCCATGACCCCCAACTTAATTTCCGCACCCCCCGTCCCCCTCCAATCATATCGTAGCATTAGCAGGCTAACACTTGTCCAGGGCTGGGCTCTGGGAAGTCCTGGTGAAAGAGGGATTCCACCGCACCCTCAAATGGCCCAAGCAGCATGGTAGACAGTCTGAGGGCTTTCACTCATTTGACCTGTGTTTATTGAATGCCTGCTATTTGCCAGCACTGTTGAGGTGCTTGGGATGCCGGGGGGAACAAAAATAGAGAAGAATTTCCTGTCTTTACAGAGCAGACAAAAACCAGATCAATCAGGGGGAAAAAAAAAAAACACCTAGTATTTCTTATAAATGCTATGAAAAAATAGAGGAGGAAGAAAGTCTGGGGGTTGTGATAATATTTAGGGTATCAATGAGAGAAAACCATGCAGGGTTTTAAAGATGATTAGAAATTCAAGAGGAGTGGGGAAGGGAAGGGCATGCAGGTTGAGGAAAAGAACATTCCRAGGGAAGAGAAGTTTGGGTAAAGGCATGGAAGTATGAAGCACTGGGTGGAGGAGAGAGAAACCAGACACAGATGGGTGTTTCTGAGCCAGGGAAAGCCCAGTGCGTGGAGGCTTGTTAAGAGGCTTGGGTTTGATGCCACAGGCTATGGGAAATGTCTGAAAGGACTGAACATCAAAATAATTGCTAGCTCAGACTGAGCAATCCCTCTGTGCCAGGCACTGTCTAAAGAGTTTACAGGCTRAATATCATTTAATCTTCTCATGCTGAAAAGTGAGCCTTGTTGCCTCCTTTTCCAGATGAGAAAACTGAGGTTGAGACAGTCTCAGTAATTTGCTCTAGGTCACACAACTGAGCCAAAGTCAAGCTTGTGTTGGCATGGGCTCCAAAGCCACGAGGGAGCTGTCAACCTGAAACTCTGAACCTAGATGTGCTCCTGGAGTTAGGGCTCAGGTGGAAGGTGGCTGCCCCAGGACTGTGGGAATGTGAAGGATGAGGCACCTGGGGAGGATGTTAAGGAGACCTGTGGAGAAATACTCCAGGGGAGGAGAGCAGCCTGCAGAAGCTACTAGTGGGTCAGGTAGGAGTGGGTCAGAGCAGAGGTCAACACCACTCCTGGGGTCATGATGGGGGTTAATGGGGGTGTGCTTGAGATGAAACTGTTGGATCTTGGGATCAAAAAGAGGGAGGAAAAGGAAGCAGGGAATCCTGAGCTTGGTGACAAAACAGGGTGAGGAATGTTCCTGCATCTGACCACGTGTGCACAGCTGTGATGAAAGTTAGATTCCCAGGAAAGGGCTCCTAACTGCCTTGGGAAGGCAGGTAATCATCCATTCTGGAGTGGAGCACCCAGGTCCCTGGGGGAAGGGGTGTTGAAGTCACTGGTTAAAGGATATTGGTGTGATTGAGGCTATAGGATGACTGGGGAGAATGGGATTTTAAGCCCCTTGGGGAAGGATATTGGGACAACTGAGACCCTGAGGGGATGTGGTTTGGTTTCAGGTGACTGGAGGTCAGGCTCTTGGAGTGAATGGGAATGGAAGTATGAAAGGTCTTGGTATAAAGGTGATAGGGATGTCACGTTCCTAGGGTCCTTGTTTGGGACTACCTGGGATCTTGATACGAGGGTTTCTGGGATGAAGTGTAGAAAATCCTAGGATTGAAATAGGAGTGTGCAGGAACCTGAAGTCACCTGGTGACCTGGTTTAGGTATCCGGGTCTGTGGGTCTAGATGTCAGGGTCTGCCCTGGGGCCGTGGCAGGTGAATGCGCCCTCTTTGCCCCCTGACTCGCCCGTGCCTGCAGAAACCGATGAGTGCCGACTGAACCAAAACATCTGTGGCCACGGAGAGTGCGTCCCGGGCCCCTCGGACTACTCCTGCCACTGTAACCCGGGCTACCGGTCGCATCCGCAGCACCGCTACTGCGTAGGTAGGTGAGCGCCACGTAGCGCTGAATAGGCGGGCGGTTGCGCAGGCAGGTGGCTCTGCGGGAGCCCTGGCTCAAAACTTCCCTTTGATGTCTCCTGGCCCACCCGTCCTTCTCAGACGTGAACGAATGTGAGGCGGAGCCCTGCGGCCCGGGGAGGGGCATCTGCATGAACACTGGAGGCTCCTACAACTGCCACTGCAACCGAGGCTACCGCCTGCACGTGGGCGCCGGGGGGCGCTCGTGCGTGGGTGAGAGCCATGGGCACAGGGGCAGTACTCAGTTTCTTGGGTGGAGAGCTCTCCCCTCCTATGCTCTGGTTAACCCTTCCTCCGCCCCCTGATCTCTTTTCCCGACGCCTTTCTCCCGGTCAGACCTGAATGAGTGCGCAAAACCTCATCTGTGCGGCGACGGTGGCTTCTGCATCAACTTTCCCGGTCACTATAAGTGCAACTGCTACCCAGGCTACCGACTCAAAGCCTCCCGACCGCCGGTGTGCGAAGGTGGGGACCCATCCACACCAAAGGGTGGATCCCAGATGTCTCTCGACCTGGGATGGGGGCGGGAGCCTGCAGTAATCTCTGCCCAGCTCTGAGCCTTTCAGATCGGGGTTCGGAAGCCCCAAGCATCCTGTTCTTGTTGATTTGTGTTGGAGAGAGGCCTTCCAAGTACCCTGAGCGCCAGACCAGCCAACTTGTGCCCAGACGGGTCCTCCTCCTTTCTCCTGTGCAGACATTGACGAGTGTCGGGACCCTAGCTCCTGCCCCGATGGCAAATGCGAGAACAAACCCGGGAGCTTCAAATGCATTGCGTGTCAACCTGGCTACCGCAGCCAGGGGGGCGGGGCCTGCCGCGGTGAGAGCGGGGACTCGAAGGCTAATGGGTGGAGCCCTTCCCGGATGGGGCGGGGGCAGGACTAGGGGCAGCAAAAGGTGCCTCGTGGGCGGAGCGTCCTGAGAAGGGAGCGCCCTGCCACCAAGCCCAGGCGGAGATTTCTCGACACCGCGCATCCTACGGTGCGGCAGAGTCTGAGCGAGCTCTCTACGCTGCAGACATCAACGAGTGCTCAGAGGGCAGTCCCTGTTCACCCGGCTGGTGCGAGAACCTTCCGGGTTCCTTCCGATGCACCTGTGCCCAGGGTTATACACCGGCGCCAGATGGCCGCAGTTGCGTGGGTGAGCTCCTGAACGCCCCGATTGCTACCCTCCAACAGCTTGTGCGCTGAAGCCGGGCATTGTAGTCGCCCTGTCTGTAAAATGATGGGTGGACGGGAGGTGACTAATTCATTCCCCAGCTCTTTTATCCAGTCAATCATTTTCTCAGCAAAGGGGCTGCAGAGTTTCCAGTAGGAAGTCTTAGGAGGCAGTGCTTGAAACTGCGTTTGCAATGCATGTCTCTTGAATTTGAAGGTAAAAAAAAAAATATATCAAACACAGGGTGATGGGCACCCCTGCACTAATGTTTACTGTGCACCAAGCTGTGGGCTAAGGGTTGGGATTAAGAGGACCGAAGACACAGAATGTACCAGAGCTGGGAGCTTGGAAGGAGCTGGGATGCTCCTTGGAAACCAGCACTGGACTGGGAGGAAGAAAACCTGAGTTGTGTTAAAGGACCGATAGGAATTAGTAGAGCAAAGAACAATGAGAGGGAACAGAAGCCAGACAGTAGTGGAAGAAATGAGAGTAGTCACCTCAAAATGGCCATAAAATGATGAGACATCAGAGAAATATTGGAACAGATTAACTGGGCATGCTGGTTGGGAGACAAGGTGAAAAAAAGAGGGGAATGAGACACTCTAGGTATGTGGTTTGGTAATTCAGTGGATGGTGCTGCCCACTAGAATATGATACCTAGGGGTTGACATATTTGGGCAGAAAGATTCTGAGTTCTTTGTTGGCCAAGGGGAATCCAAACCCATGGGCACCCCGTGCTTCTCTACTGGAGATGTCAGTAGAGGCTAGGCCATGTGGGTTGGTAGTTTGGTAGTCTTGGGCCATGCATACCCATGACTGTGGACTATGGGAGCTATGGAGTGTTGAGGCCAGGCTTGTTCAGTCAAGGAGGGTGAGCTGGGTAAGGGGAGCATTTGGCAGAATTTGGCAGACACTGATGYACAGGGGCAGGTGGAGGTGAGGGAGAAGGAATGGTAAGAGGATTCATGATGGAAAGAGGGACGGTAGGTGGACTGCAGAGCACCATTTAAAAATCTGGGGAAGCCAGGTGTGGTGGTGTATACCTATAATCCCAGGCTGAAGCAAGAAGATCAAAAGTTGGAGGCAAAAAAAAAAAAAAAAAGTTGGAGGCCAAGCCAGGCACCATGCATGTGTCTTGGGAGGCTGAGAGGACGAGTTCAAAGCCAGCCTCAGCAATGGCAAGGTGCTAAACAACTCAGTGAGACCCTGTCTCTAAACAAAATACAAAATAGGGCTGGGGATATGGCTCAATGGTTGAGTGCCCCTGAGTTCAATCCATGGTACCCCCCCCAAGAAAAAAGGCCAGCCTCCAACTTAGTGAGACCCTGTCTCAAAATAAAAATTAAAAGGTCTGGGATGTGGCAGGGGTTAAGCATCCCTGGGTTCAATTCCTGATACAAAATAAATAGTTGGGGAAACCTGGAGCAGTATGAGGAGAAGGGTGGGGAGGGTGCCTCATTTAGTGAGGGTCTGTGAAGGGTATGAAGGCCTGGTCTTTTGGGCATCAAACCTAGCCAGGGGCCCTGAAAGCTCTTGGCTTGGCCACTGGCACACGTGGGAGCTGGCCTCAGCTCAGGTACTCCAGGCCATGAGCAGGAATGGAAAAAGAGTAGCAGAGCTCAGAGACTAATATCATCCTGGCCCTCTGACACCCCTGTGTCCTACAGATGTGGATGAGTGTGAAGCTGGGGGCGTATGTGACAATGGCATCTGTACCAACACACCAGGCTCCTTCCAATGTCAGTGCCTCTCTGGCTACCATCTGTCAAGGGACCGGAGTCACTGTGAAGGTGAGGGGTCCTAGAGCTGGGACGCTGGCTTGTCCCTCCCTATCCCAGGACCCTTACTGCCAGGTCTAGTCCCCATCCAGATCCCAGAAGTGGTATGGGGCTATGGAGCCTCCCGGGGCACTGAGGGAGGGGTACTTTGGCAGCTTCAGCCCCTGAGACTCCCCACCTCCTTGTTCTCCTACAGACATTGATGAATGTGACTTCCCTGCGGCCTGCATTGGGGGTGACTGCATCAACACCAATGGCTCCTACAGATGTCTCTGCCCCCAGGGGCATCGTCTGGTGGGTGGCAGGAAGTGTCAAGGTATGAGGGATTGGCTGAGGGCTTCTGAGGGGAGTGGCAGGGTGCGGTAATCCCCCAGATACACTGGCCTTTCTGTCTTTCCATCCATCCATCCATGCATCCTACACTCAGCTGTCCTTCCATTATTTCACCTGAATAACAGAATAACAGTAATAATGACATTAGTGCTTCTGTGATGCTTACTTTGTGCTAGATGTGTTAGTCCAATTTACCAACTCACCCATACTTGTGTTCATCCTCAAGAGATAACTGAGCACTTACTGTTTGCCAGGTTCTGTGCTCTGTACTAAGTACTCGGCAATGACCAAGGGCTCCCAGCCTCCAGTGGTGGTGGTGGTGGTGGTGATAAACTAATTTTCAGCATTAGAGTGCAGGGTGTCAAGAAGGTTCTGGACTAGCAATCAGTGGGGAGATGACCATTGAATTGGGACTTGAAGCAAAATAATAGTGGTTCTCAGACAAAGGCATTAGATGGTATTTCACCCCCCAAGAACAGTATTTGAAAAGTACAAAGATCTGGAAGTTATGTTTCAAGGAGAGCAATACTGATATCCTGAGCATGGGGTTGGAGGGAGCTGGAGGGAGCTGGAGGGTGATGGGACTGAAGGGTATTGGGAGAGCAAACTGAGCTGAGTTAGGACTTCATTCTGTTGTCATTGGGGAACATTGAAGGATGACAGCAGTGAGTGTACCTACCCACCTATGTGGACCAGAGGGCATCTCTCTGGKGTGTACTTGGAAATCAAAGTGGAAATTCAGGTTCTGAATTTCAGGTCCTCAGGGCACACTCCAGGGAAGGAGGCAGTGGTTCTTGTCAGAGCCATTTCTATCCCTGCTTCTTGCTCCCTTTGCTCCCTCCAGACATAGATGAGTGCAGCCAGGACCCTGGCCTGTGCCTGCCCCATGGGGCCTGTGAGAACCTGCAGGGCTCTTACGTTTGTGTTTGTGATGAGGGCTTCACCCCCACCCAGGACCAGCATGGCTGTGAGGGTGAGTATCCTCCCAGTTTTCTCCTAAGTCTAGACAACTCCCCCGAACTGCAGCTGGCCTTCAGAGACGTCCTGGTCCCATCCTCCTGAATTTGGGGAACAGAAAGATATCTCTTTTGCCTGGGGGAGCCAGACTTCCAAGGGCCTGAAARCCATGTGGAGGAAGGAACAGGGCTCTCACATGGTGCTAAAGGGGGGCCAGGGAAAGTGGGGGACAGTGATGTGATGGGTGGGCAATGTAAATGTGGGGGGGTAGTTTATCTGCATGACTCTGAGCTGCCTTCCCCCTCAGAGGTGGAGCAGCCCCACCACAAGAAGGAGTGCTACCTTAACTTCGATGACACGGTGTTCTGTGACAGCGTACTGGCCACCAACGTCACCCAGCAGGAGTGTTGTTGCTCACTGGGGGCCGGATGGGGAGACCACTGTGAAATCTATCCCTGTCCAGTCTACAGCTCAGGTCAGGAGCCGGCAGGCCCCTTTCCAGAACCTTAGTTTGTGCATCAGGAAACCAAATGGGGAAAATGGCTCCCTGCTGGATAGTTGGGAAATGTGGTGCTGGCTCTGGCCAGCAGACTTGTACTCAGTCCTCCTTCCTTCCCTCCCTGCAGCTGAGTTCCACAGCCTTTGCCCCGACGGAAAGGGCTACACGCAGGACAACAACATTGTCAACTATGGCATCCCAGCCCATCGTGGTAAGCCCCAGCGCGGCTTCCTCCACCAGGTCGGGCCCCCAGGCTTGGCTCCCAGGTGCTGGCTTGGCATAGGGGTAGGCGGCGCCAGATCGGCTCTGCGCACACATCAGGCTCGCCCCTACCCCTGTACTTCACTCTGGAATGGTTGGAGGGAAAAACTTCTCCCGAGGGTTTGGCTTTCCTCCCTGCGCGAGCCCCGCCCACCCCTTCCGCCTGCCTGCGGGGCCGAACAGCTTAGAGGTATAGGCGGCTGGGCGCCCATGGTTGGTCACCCGCAGACATCGACGAGTGCGTGTTGTTCGGGGCGGAGATCTGCAAGGAGGGCAAGTGTGTGAACACACAGCCTGGCTACGAGTGCTACTGCAAGCAGGGCTTCTACTACGACGGGAACCTGCTGGAGTGCGTTGGTGAGCGCAGCTCGCCGCGGCGGCGGCTCGGGGGAAGCGGCCGGGAGGCCCGAAAACCTCCCGCCCGCAGGTCTGCCCCTGGCATCCGCACTTTTTCTCCCTGTAGATGTAGACGAATGCTTGGACGAGTCCAACTGCAGGAACGGAGTGTGTGAGAACACACGTGGCGGCTACCGCTGCGCCTGCACGCCCCCGGCGGAGTACAGCCCCGCGCAGCGCCAGTGTCTGAACCCCGAAGAGATGGGTGAGGCCCGGGCCGGTCAGCTGGGGAGAGGGAGGGGGCGGGGCCCAGCCGAACTGTGACTGCCACCCCCACCCATCCCCTCGCTGCCTGTAGACGTGGACGAGTGCCAGGACCCGGCAGCCTGCCGCCCTGGCCGCTGCGTCAACCTACCGGGCTCCTACCGCTGCGAGTGTCGCCCGCCCTGGGTGCCCGGGCCCACCGGCCGCGACTGCCAGCTCCCCGAGAGCCCGGCGGGTGAGGGCGATGGGCCGACTCCAGGGCCCTGTTCATAGGGTGGAGCCCCAGGGCCTCCACACCGGCTTGGGTGGGGTGGAACCGAGGACGGTCCCTGTCTCTGGTTCCTCGATGACGGCCGGTTCCCTTCGCAGAGCGTTCCCCGGAGCGCCGCGACGTGTGCTGGGGCCAGCGAGGAGAGGACGGCATGTGTGCGGGCCCTTTGGCCGGGCCTGCCCTCACTTTCGATGACTGCTGCTGTCGCCAGGGCCGCGGCTGGGGCGCCCAGTGCCGCCCGTGCCCGCCGCGAAGCGCCGGTGAGCTGGTGAGGGGAACTCTGAGGGCGGTAACTGGGGTACACCGACGACGTCGCTCACCTCACCCCACACTCCCAGGGTCCCAATGTCCGACATCGCAGAGTGAGAGCAATTCCTTCTGGGACACGAGTCCCCTGCTGTTGGGGAAGCCATCGCGAGGTGAGTAAGGCCTAGGGGGACGAGGCCGGGTCAGCACCATCGTTAGGGGGCGATGTTGACATCGGTAATTCCACCGGTCCTCACAGACGAGGACAGCTCGGAGGAGGACTCCGATGAGTGTCGCTGTGTGAACGGCCGTTGCGTACCGCGGCCAGGCGGCGCGGTGTGCGAGTGTCCTGGTGGCTTCCAGCTGGACGCCTCTCGCGCGCGCTGCGTTGGTGAGCTGGACAGCGGGGCCCGGGGGCGGGGCGGGGCGGCGGAGGGGCGGGGCGGCGCCCAGCCGGAACTGGAAGCTAAGCGAAGTCCGCACCTGTCAACCACCTGCAGACATCGATGAGTGCCGAGAGCTGAACCAGCGCGGACTTCTATGCAAGAGCGAGCGCTGCGTGAACACGAACGGCTCCTTTCGCTGCGTCTGCAAAGCGGGCTTCGCGCGCAGCCGCCAGCACGGGGCCTGTGTGCCCCAGCGCCGCCGTTGACACAACCCATGGCCTGCATCTCACGCTGACGGGTTTTCATTGACATTGGGGGTGAGCTCGGTCTCTTATTCCTGCCTCAACTAGGGACAGGGACCCAGGAACCCTCTGGGGCCCACAGACCCCTTTCTGCACCCCTAGACCCAAGGGTGTCCATAGTGGCCCCGTCAGGTTCACTGCAGATACAGGTCTGCAGGGTGCTGTCGGTCTTGCTCCCCGAGGATGATTCGTAGACGCTGATAAATCAGATCGTGCCTCTTCAGTTTACTCGCAGCTTTGAAAGCAAATTGATGTTCACATCTACTGCTGGTGGGGACTGCACAGAGCAGTACCAGATCCCAGCCACTCAGAGGGGCTAGCTGAGCCCGGGACAGGGGTGTGAAATAGAATTTATTGTGGCTCTGATTATGTACACATGAGATGTGCCTGGCCAGGCCAGCCGGGCTCACATGGTTTGTACAATAAATACATCCGCGGGGCCTGCTCTCCGTGGCTGGGAGGGCTACCCCAGAAGTTCAGTCCAGCTTTCGTGCTCCCAGCTTCATGGGGCCCTTGGCTGCCTTCTTCTCTGCGCGTTTGGCCTCCATCTCCCTCCGCCGGTCCTCACGCTTTTTCCGTGCCAGCTCGGCCTTGACTTGTCCTGGAGTCAGGAAGGGGAAGCAGGCTGAGGGCTGACCTGCCCTGCCCTGCCCTGAACCCTAGTCTGTCAGCCCTCCAGGGGAAGGACTTACGGCTCTCAGTCTCCAGGCCCTCCCAGTTGTCCTCACCCCATGAGTCCGATTCTGGCCTGGGCTGAAAAGGGAAGTGTGGGCTGCTGTGGGGGCCAACTCCTGGCTGAGTTCCACCCCAGTCTGCACCCTCAACAGACCCATACCTGGGTGCTAGAACGCACAGACAGGGCAGCGAAGGGGTCACCCTTGTCGTTGGACTCTGGGCCACCCCAGTTATACTCGCTGGCCAATCTTGTGCCTTCAGGGGGTGGCTCTGGGGAGCTGGGCTCCTGCCAGCCCTGCTCCCAGGAGCCTTCAGCTTCCCAGTTGCTCCAGTCTGACTCAGGAGATTTGTGTTCTGGGGGGCTGACCTGCAGAAGGGTGGGAAGGAGTGGTTGGGCCTGCCCAGAGGCAGGAGCCAGATCCTGCCCCACAGACACACTCTGCCTGACCCAGCTCACCTGTCCAGCTATGCTTGCTTGGCCCCTGGTACTCCAGTCATCCTGCTGGGCCAACACAGACTCAGCCTCCTGCTGCAGTATGGGAAGGAGAGGGGCATACCAATGACACACCCAGCCCTCCAAAGGGCAAGTAAGTGGGCCCAGGCCTGTCCTAGACATGAGCTTGGCCCTTTGGTCTTTTACCTTCCTTCATTTCCTTCCCTGTCAGCCAGATGGGGAAACTGGCCAGAGCTCTGATAAAATTCACTCAGAGCAGCACCACTCCCTCCCCCGCCCATCCTCAGCCACCCCTGCAGCATGCCTGGTCTGGTTTTAGAGGAGGGTATATGGGGGACTATCCTTACTCACCCCGGGCTGAGTGGGCACTGAAGTAAACAGTGGGCACACAGGAGAGTAAGAAATCCAGCAGGCAGCCTAACCACTGCCTGCCCTGCCTCTCATCTGACCCTGCTCCTGGAGACCCCTGGGATTGGGGAGGAGATCAGCTGCTGTCTCTGACCTACAGTGGCCAACTTCATGAGGTCTACCTGTCAGGACTGCTGTGCAGATAATACAGGCTCAACTCCAGCCAGGCCCCATATGTCTGGATTGGCAGCCTGCGGCTCTCTGGGGGTCCCCTGAGAGCCTCCTCAGCCCCACTAACCTCCAAGCTGCCCCAGTCCTCATCATCCCATCTGTCAGCAGTACTGCTATCCTCTGTTGTGTCCTTGTCCTCCTGTGTCTCCCAGCGGTCTGAGGTTGTAGAGGTGGCAGAAAGAGGTGTGGGGGCTGGGGCAGGATGTCCTAGAGAACAGAGGCCCCGGGGCTCTCAGGGAGGTCTTGGGAGAGGACAGAGGTTGCTGAGAGGAAAGGGATACACAGAAGGAAGGGGCACCAAGGAAATCCACAAGGAGACTAGACCCCATTCCATCCCCTATGTCCCCATCACCCTCCTGGGGGAGCCAGATAATAGCTGGGACACTCACCCTCAGGCATTGGTCTCTGGGGCACATTGGTCTCAGCCTGTGTAGCCATGGGGTGTGCACGGATGAATTTAGAGGTAAGTGAGGAGACTCCAGTCACAGCCCAGCCTGCCCAGCTGGCTGCAGCTCCTCCCATCCCAGGGCTGGAAGCTGCATGGACATCCTTCTCTGGGCAAAAAGAGAAACAGATATGGGCACCTCAGGCTCCACAGGGAGGTGATAGAAAGGCAAGTACCCGGGGCTGGGGATGTGGCTCAAGCGGTAGCGTGCTCGCCTGGCATGTGTGCGGCCCGGGTTCGATCCCCAGCACCACATACAAACAAAGATGTTGTGTCCGCTGATAACTAAGAAATAAAATGTTAAAAAAAAAAAAATTATCTTTCTCTCTCTCCTCTCTTACTCTCTCTTTAAAAAAAAAAAAAAAAAAAAAGAAAGGCAAGTACCCTAACAATGACTTGTAACCGTCCCCTCCCTATTATAGGCAGAGGTCTTCCCATCTATGAAATGGATGCTCCAGTGGAGGTGGGACATGCCAGATGACAGGCAAGGACATGGAAATGGGGGAAGAGGGAACACAAGCATGGCCACTCACCCACTTCTGCCAACTGGGTGGGATCCTCAGACACAGACTCCAGTTTGGACAGGAAGCTTCGAATGGCCTTGAAGGCCTGTGGGACAGCAAGGGGCCAAGCTGGGGGCTCCAGGGTTCCCGAGAGCCTACCAGGATGGCTAGGGCTTAGATATAACCCAGAGTCCCAGCTCCAGGGCCCAGCCCAGCTATGCCTCACCTGGTCCCGCACAGATTTTTCAGGGTCCACAGTGAGGCCACACAGTACAGGCAGGATCTTGTGGGCACAGTCGTTCATTGAGTAGAAGTTGTGGGTGGCAGCAAAGCCCAAAACACCCGCAACCCGGGATGGTGCAAATGGGTCCTTAGTGGCCCGGCTGAAGGCGGAGGTGAGGACTCTGTGTCTGGTCTGGAGTAGGGCAGGGGAGAGAACTCCTAAGTATACAATCAAAAGTGAGACCTAGAACCTCCAGATCAGGGGCCAACCATGGGACCTCCAGGGTCTAAAAATATGTATTTATCAAAAATAGCTTAAAAGGCACAAATTTACCTAAAACTCTGGATCTGGGTTTCTCCTCCTAGAATCCTGGACTCCTTTCTGTCTCAGGGGAACGAGGGCCAGAACAGCAGCCACCCTGAGGCTAGATCATGTGCCTCCCTTCTTCCCTGCCCTGCTGATCTCACTCATTCATTCCTGTTACTGTCTGGGCACAGCAGGTGTCACATTTTAAAACTTGGGGGATGCACACAGGTTTAGGGCTAAGCCAACCTGGATTCAGATCCCAGATTCACACCTATGCACTGTGTGACCTGGCACAACTCACTCCACCTTTAGGAGCCAAGACACTGAGGCTAGCAGGGCTCTCTGGGAGCCTTCGTGTGGGAGACGATGAATGACCACACACACAAGGTTCCTGGCTCGAGAGGAGGCCATGGTCCTATGGCAGCTGTAGGACACTCACACTGGCACTGAGGTAGGAGCCAATTTTTCCCAGGCAGACCGTGGTGTTGCAGCGGATTGGGCCCTGTTCATCCTTGGCCTGCAGTCGGGCAAAGTGCTTCATGAGCTCCACGTTGAGGTTGGCTTCATTTAGCTTTGGGGCCAGGAGCAGCATGGACTGTGGGGTGAAGGCAACAGTAGGTATTGTGGGCCAGGACAGGAATGGTCTCCTGGGCCACTGGTGGCCCCTGGCTCTTAGCAGACCTGCGAAAGCCTGATAAAGCACACTCAGCCTGCTCCTGACCCACCCAGTATGTTGAGAAAGGGGAGCTCCCCCTTTCCCATCCCCTAAAGTAAGATCTCAAAAGTCTTGTACTCTTGTCTCCCATCTCTCTCCTGCCTGCAGTACACTCAGGCTCTCACAGGAACATTCCCCACAGTGTACCAAACTGGCTTAGGCTGAGGTCACCAATGAACTCCAAGTCCCTAAATTCAATAGTCAATTCTGCCTCATCAAACTTGATTCCTTAGCAGTTTTGATAACCCTACCACCACCACCAAATTCTCCCTCTGCTTTGAAATATTTGTTTCTGGTCTATCAGGAAAGGAGTCCTGGTCCTCCCCCCAGCCTCACTGGCTGCTCCTTTTGCTGAAATCTTAATCTTTAGACACCCCAAAACAAGTCCTTTGGCCTTTTTTTTTAATATTTAACACTGGGCCCTGTAATCTCACCTACTTCATGGCTTTAAATGTCTCTCTGTTAGCTGATAGCTCCCAAGTGTGCACCACTTGCCAAAACTTCTTGCCTCAACTTCACATGTGCATAACCAGCAGCCAGCTCAACAGCTCTACCTGACCATCAAGCAGAGCTGGCCAAGCCAGGGCCCAACTGCCTTCTACAAACCTGCTCCTCACTCAGACCACAGCACTGCTCTGTTCTCCCCACTACCGCACACCTTACAGGTGGGCTTTGCTGGTCTCATTCCCAATGAATACAGCAGGTTTCCACCATACCAACAAGGCCCAACATTATCCTCTTGACTTCGCCTCCTTCAGCCATCTCCTTTCAGCCATGCTAAACCACTTACTTCTACTTCCTACTTCTATAGTCCAGGCAGCTTCCAGACTCCAGGCCTTTGCACCTGCCACTACTTTTGCAGGAGACACATTTCTTCCCCATCTCTTCATGGGTTGAATCCTTCACCTCCTTACTTTCAAGGGATACCTCCTAAGCAAGGTAATCCCTTTTTAAAAACTTAGACCCTCCTCTCCCCAACTCTTTTCTGATGTGATATATATTTTCTAATTCTATTTCTTGTCTGCCAGGCCCATTGTCTGTACCCCTCAAGGGAAAGGGGCTTGGGCTGCCTTGTGCAAACTGCGTACTAGCCCAGGGCACAGGATGGGCACAAAGAAATGTTCAGTGAGGTCTGCTGAAAGGACTGTAGGTCACACCTGCAACATACCACCACTGGCTGCAGGACAGCCTCCACAGCCTGGACCAAGCGCAGAGCACATGGTAGTACCTGCCCCACCCATAATCTGCTTAGACTTGCAAGCAGAAGCCATGGCCTCTGTGTCCTGTAAACAACCCCCTCCATGCCCTGGAAAACTGGAGGTGGTTACTCTTTGCCTGGCCATACCTACCTTGACTGTCTGCTCCCGGATGGCGGGGTTGGTATCCAGAAAGCCATGTACAACATGGGGAAAGATCTGAGTGTTGACTGTCGGCTCATCAAGGTATTGGATAAACTGCTCCATCTGTAGCCCAGGAGGGTGGAGGGTAGTGTGTGTGGGGGAGAACACAGCCAGCCCTCTCTCGCCCCATACAGGTTTGGAGCCACTCTGGTTTCCCACTATCCACCCCTGGCCAGCCAGGTTAGCTTATTAAGCCCCATGCCTGTGTTTGACCTCAAGAGGCTTGATGCAGAGAGGGATTGGGACCTGAGAGCCAGGTCCCACAAGAGTCCCCTATCCTAGGTCCCATCAGTCCTATGTAATGTTCCCAGTTGCCCTGGGTTGGCAGATGTTTTATCTCCACTCATCCCAGGGTGACCACATCAGAAGATGGGGTGGCACCTGAGCCCTGTAGCCTGGGCACTCCTGAGATTGCCAAGGAGCCCTGTGATCCACCTCATGACAGCCTGGCCTCCCTGCTCCCTCATCTGTGGAATGTTCAGGGGAGGGTTTTCTGGGGTCCCTTTGCAGCCAGGAAAGAGGCTCCAGTCACCTGCTTGGAGCAGGAGGTAAGGAAGGTGTCTCTCCAACAACCAGGGTGGGTCTGGGTGGGTAGACCAGGGCAGGGCCTGGCCAAGGCCCCTACCTGCTGCAGGAGGCGGATGCGCATGGCGCGGTCGGTGGATGAGAACATCTTGACCACCACAGGAATGATCTTCTGCTGATACTCCTCAGCACTGAGGAACTTGCCCACCTGAGGATAGGAGGGAACAAGTGTTTAGCCACGTCCCCAGGGCTGGATGACTTCACAGGGCTCACTTGACTTACTCAGGCTCCCTGCTGGTTTTCCAGGGTAGGAAGGAGGTGACACCAGAGGAGAGGCATCAGGCATTTCCCCAGCAGCTCCTCTGCCCCTACCCCAGCTCAGTCCTGCCCCTAACCTTTCAGGTTCAAGGCCTCTTTTAGGAAGCTGATGGAAGCTGTGCCCCTCCCTATGAACAGGTGTCTGAATGTCATATGTACACAGAATTCTGCCTGTGATTTCTGGGGATTCCAACTTTACAGGACTTGATGGCTGGCTTTTCTACTTCTAGCAAGTTCCTTCAGGGGAAAAGGATGTCCTGGGGATGGGGCACATAAGGGAAAGGCAGGTGACCCTGAAAGGTGGGCTGGGGTCTCAGGAAGCAGGAAGAATCCAGCCCCAGAAGTCACCTGAGTGGTTAGGAAAGAGAGGAAAATGGGGTGATGGGCAGGTAGTCCCCAGAGCCCTGGGAAAATGGTTCACAGATCAGGCTAGGAGAGTCTGTCTTAGGAAAGGAGGAAGGGCCAAGTGCCCTGAAGCAAGGGTCTGAGGATCAAGAAATGTAGAGGCACAGGTTCTTTGCTCTCAAAGGGCAAGAAGTCCCCACAGTCTCCCTGTAGCTGCTCAGGAGGTCCTGGCTTGCTGAACCACCAGGACGCTGGCAGAAAGCCAACTCATATGGGTCTTCCCTGACCAGGCTGCCTGCCCCAGGATGCCCCATAGGGCTGTTCCCAGTCCAGGATCATCTCTTTGGCAGTTTGGATACACCCTGCCAGCTCTCTGGATCCCAYAGGTCTTGAGGCTCCAGGCTTTCCAGGTCTCCCCTCAATTACCTTGAAGAGGGGTGTGAGGACCACAGCCCCAGCGTTGCCAAACTCGAAGGCAGTCAGCAGCTGGGGCAGCACCTTGTGCCGACAGAAATCCTCAGGGAATGAGTCCAGGCTCTTGCTCAACTCTTGGAAGAATTTTTGCTTCTCGGCCGGCTCTTTGATCTAGGGGAACAAGGACAAGGCACAGGGAGGAAGCCAGCCTGGTCACACACATTGCCCAGTCACAAGTGAGGACAGGAAGTCACCCCCAGGTCTGAAGGGACAAAAATAAAGCTGTGGGCTCTAGAGCCCAACTGCCTAGGCTCAAAGGCCAGCTTTCCTGCTTACTTGCCAAGTGGTTTAGGCAAGTTCCTCCATCTGTAAAATGAGTTAATAACTCTATCACCGCATAGGGTTGTTCTGAAGATTCAATTGGAAAATGCACATAAAAGCTGTCAGCACAGTGCCTGGCACACAGCAGGGCCTCCAGTGACTGTCCTTATCTTGGCCACCTAACTGCTGGAAGAGCAGCCACTAGGGGCATCATACCCTCAGTCAGCAGCAGTGACTGCTCACAACAGCCTAGATGGGAAAACACTTAAAAAAGAGGGAAGGGCCATATGAGCACTCCACCTAACACAGCGCCTGCTGCCCCCCCCCACTCCCCCACCCCCGCCCAAAGGCAGCAGGGCTCAGCATTTCCAGTGGCTTCTTCAAGATGCAGTTCAGTTCCCCATCTTCCAACAGCCCTCCCTATCCCCACCTAAGCCAATATTCTCCACTCTGTTCCTTGGAAGTCTGTGGAAGTGTCTGTCGCCCTCCTCCCCTGTCCTGATTCTCAGCCACCTCTCTGTGTTCACCACACATGACTGGGCCAGAGCAGGTGCAGAGAGCAGACCTCCCTCCTTCATTCCGTGTGACTCTCCCTTTACACAGATGCCAACATTGAGGTTCAGAGGTAAAGCACAGGGTGCCCTCCTCACATCTTCTCAWGAGCTGGTCCCTCTGTCTGGAACACTTCCCCCAGTTACCATCCCTATGGCTCCCATGTTCCTGTCCTTCAGGTCCTATTTCAAATGTCATTCCTAAGAGAGCTCTTCCCTGAGCACCCCATCCCTTCTATTTTCCTGCTGGCAACGAGAACTGCCTAAAACAGGAACCTGGCCTATTAACCCCTTGCTCGCTCCTTGAGGGCAGGTCTAGATCTGTCTTTCCCTCCCCACCCCACTCCAAGCCAGCATGGGGAATGGCACCCTGGGGACCAGAGTCAGGAAGTATTGTAGAGTTGCTGGAGCAACAAGAACACTCACTAAGGATCTGCTGTGTCCAACATGCACAGCGGCCCTCTATGTTCCACAGTGGTGCATTCAAACAACCATTGATAACAGACATTAAAAATTAATGTGTCCATATTGACATGTAGACTTACTTTTGTCACTGTTCTCTAAATGATACTGTATAATAACTATTTTCATAGCACTTTCATTTTATTAGGTGTTATATGCCATCAAGAGATGATTTTTAAGAATGTGAGAGGATGTAAATAAATCGTATGTGTAAATACTATGCTGCTTTATATAAGGGACTTGAGTATTCTTGGATTTTGGTGTCCTTGGGAGTCCTAGAACCATGGATATCATGGACATCAAAGACGACTAGGCTGTGTACTCCCCACGATCCTGTGAAGTAGGCACTATTACTAGAGCTAAACTTCAACAAGGGGAAGGCAAAGCAAGGAAGAGTTGGAGCCAGAGTTGCATCCAAAGGGCCTATTTGTATAGTCCATGCCTGTCTTCAAAGGGTTCAGTTGTGAGAGAACCTAAAAGTGGGGTATAGGGCAATTATGGAAAATGTAGGGCCAAAGCCTAGGCAGGTGGGGGGCTTACCTGAATCTCTTCCAAGAAGAGGTTGGTCTCCACAAAACGGTTGTTCATGAAACCACCAGGTGCCTGGCAGTTCTGCAGAAAGCGGGCTGGGTTGGGACGCACCTTAGGGTTGGCTCCCACCAGTTCACAGTAATGGGGCACCAGGGATTTGGGGATCTGTAGGATAAGACTCAGTGTCAGAGAAGGGGTGGTTGGTGAAAGAGCAGAGAAAGAGCAGCTGGGGCAAGGCAGACAGCCAGGGGCTGGATACTTACCTTCCCAGGATTGCGAAGGGCAGTCGCCCGAGGTAGGGGCCCATTGAAGACTTCCCAGATGAGGCAGCCCAAGCGCCACATGTCTGCTGACCTGTAGCAGTAATCCAGAGCTGCTCAGAGCCCTACCACCCATTAATGCAAAACTCATCCTGCCATGGCAGGTCCTGGCTGTGTCCCTCAGGTGACCCATCAGCCTTAAGCAGCTGGTTTCACTAGCCCCATTTAACATACAAAAAAACCAAGGTTCAGAGAGGCAAGGACATCTGTCCTGGGTCACACAATTTTCAAATTCAGAACCACCCAATGCCCAAGCTTGTGTCYAACCTGCCCTACTACTATGGAGCTTCTGGTAGCAGTCCTGGGACCCTGATACTCTCCCAACCAAGCAACAAGGGACAGGGTAGTGCCAGCTAGTCTAGAGATCCTGAGGCTACAGGGGCCTCCACAAYAGGACAGACTGAGGTATTCCACCCCCAGTCACCCACCACTTCTCTCTGACCGCTCTGCCGCTGTTGTCAGTCAATTCCGGGGGGTCATACTGCTCAAGTTCAGGGATCCCCTTGCGGGGTGGTCCCCCACCATTGCCCTGGGCTGAGTACATGTAATCCAGGCCCCCAAGTTTCCACTCGCCAGCTCGGTCCACAAACACAGCAGCCATACAGACGTTATTGTGGATAAGGTTGCAGTCGTTGACCAAGAAGCTGAGGGCTTTCACTATCTGGTGTAGCCCCCAGGACAACTCCTGCTCCTTCAGGCCACCAGCATCCACTCGAGCCTTGAGGTACATTCCCAGTGGGGTCACAGCCTCTGTCACTACATGGAGGCACTTTTCTGTCTAGGAAAGGAGAGAGGGATGTCAGGGATGGTTAGGGAGAAGAAGGGGAAATGAGGAACAGGGACAGTAGAGAAGCTCTAACTCTGGGGGTGCTGAAATCCAAGGGGTGGAAACCAAGGGACAGAGTGAAGACAGCAGTGGGAGACTGGGAAATGGTGAGAACAGAGATAAACAAACGCAGTGCAGGTACCTCCAGCCCATCGATATAGGCCAGGATGTTGGGGTGCCGGAGAGTTTTGAGGCGCTTGAAGGCAGCTTTGGCCACCTGGGTCTGCTCTTCGGCGCCAGGCTTCACGTCGTACACGAATATGGACACCAGGCTGCCTGTGGCCTGGAGGACAGAGAGGCCAGGGGGTGGGGGCCAGGCTGACCACTCGGCTGGGCCTGGGTCTCACCATTTCGTAGATGGTCCCCGGAGCAGAAGAAAAGAGACGAAGGCCAGGTCTCTCCCCTGGTCAGTCCTTAGGGACTCGGCCGGGCTCACGTGACGCCTACCCCGTCTGCCTGTCGGTCCCTCGGTCCTTCCGCCCGCCACGTCGGCACTGCCCGACCCCTCCCGGCCCGTTGCCCCGAGCCTCCGCCTCCACGTCAGACCCGGCGCGACGCAGAGGAACCGGCGGTGCGCAGTAGGCGAGGCCGAGGTCTGCCGCGGCCTGCAGAGCCGGGCCGCACTCACCTTTTTGCGGCCGCGGTGCAGGACCCAAGGTCCGGGCGGGCTGCCTTCAGGAGCCTCTGGGCTGAGCTCGAACGGAAAGTCCCGGACCGGGTCCCGGGCAAAGAACCACATCGTCCCCGCCGCCGCCGCCGCCGCCGCCGCCGCCGCGGGCTCGGGCGCCTCCGCTCCGGGTCCTCCGGCCGCCCGAGCCGGGGCGGGGCGGGGGCGGGGGCGGGGCCTGGCCGGGGCGGGGGCGGGGCCGGAGACTGGGGGGCGGGGCGGGGCGGGGCCGGCAGCGCCAGAACCAACCCTCCGCTTCCGCGGCGGGGTCAGCCCCTCCAGATCGCCCGAATTGCTCGGACTTCTGCGTCCTTAAAGGCAAAAGGGGTGTGGAAAGAGAGCCCACCTCCTAGCGTTATTGTAAGGATGAGAGCTTGAGAAGAAACAGATGAGAAAACCGAGGCGATGAAGGGGAGAGACGGAGAGACAAACCGTGAAGGAAGGCGACTGCCAGCAGAGAAGGGGTGGTAGTGAGTAGTGAAGTAGAAACGTATGGAGATGGTTGTCCCCAGGGTCCGAAGTGCTGGAGCTAGTGAGTGGTGGCTCCAGGTCCCAGCAAGGAGCCCATGGAATGAGAAGTGACCAGGAGAGAGGCCTGAGGAGACAGAGCCCTTGAGGAGTGGGGCAAATGTCCAGGTGAGGTCCACGAGCCCTGGAGTAGCTGGAGGGTACCAGGGGAAGGAAAGAAGGAGACACTGAAGAGGGAAGAAGAGTTGACCCCAGGAAAGGAGAGGGTGGAGGAGGAACAGCTGGGCAAGTCCAGAAGAGGCCGGAGGGCAGAGAGGAGCCCTGCTTTCCTGGGCCCAGCAGCCCCCGGTTCCTTGGTTCATAAAACTAGCCTCTTCTTCAGGTCCCCAGTGCCTGTGCTGTCATTAGTTCAATCTGCCCACCACACTAATGGAGACTTAGTCCTTTAGCTGGAAAGAGCCCTGTGACCAGGAGGGGCTGGAAAGGACAGGCAATGACTCCTCTGCAGATTAGGTCTCAAGGGATGGAGTCTTGTCCCTTAGCCAACTCCTATGAAGTACAGGTGAGATTCTGGAACCAATTGGAAATGTTTGGTTAGGATGTCTTTGGGAGGACTCTCAAGGGCAGTGGTGGATTGGAATCTGGCTTAGCCTTTTACTGGCTGTGGGAACTCACACAGAAACAGTACCTTCTGGTGGTCTCAGTTTCCTCTTCTATAAACTGTGATGAACAGTGCCCTTCACCACATCTGACCCAGAACAGCCACCCAATAACACTCACTTTCGACGTTCCCTTGTCCCCGTATTGGTGTGGGAATCACACCAAGTGGGCATCAGACACAATGTCCACTGCTCAGGACAGACTAGAAGTCGTGTCTAGAGACCTTCCCTCATAACTTTGAGAGGCAGAAGACCTTGACAACATTGGGACTATGAAGTGGGCAATATAGAGGGTGGAGAGCATCCTGCCATTGAAAGGAGCAAGTAGAGATCTCAAACATGAAATACAGCCTCTAGGGCTGGGGTAGTGGCTCAGTGGTAGAGCATTTGCCTTCCATGTGTGGGGCACTGGGTTCGATCCTCAGCACCACATAAATGAATAAAATAAAGATATTGTGTACATCTAAAAAAATTTAAAAAAAAAACTCCCTGGAACAAGATGCCAGTCCAGCCAGCATGCCTTTTTTTTTAACATTTATTTTTTAGTTCTCGGCAGACACAACATCTTTGTTGGTATGTGGTGCTGAGGATCGAACCCGGGCCGCACGCATGCCAGGCGAGCACGCTACCGCTTGAGCCACCTCCCCAGCCTGGGATTAGTGTTGTACTCATCTTGCACATGAAGAAACAGGTTGAGAAAGGTCACACAGCAGAAAGCAGCGGGGCCTGAGCCCTGTGCTGCTCACAGCTCCTTCAACAGCCAAGACAAATCTCAGCAGCCTTCCAACGCACTCACCTGTGGACATCCTGCAGGCATGGGGTCTGCAGGGACACCAGGAAAGCAGCTGCTCTTAGAGGCGATACGTTCAGAGCCAAGTGGGCAGAATCGGGGGGCAGATGCCTCCGTGTGAATCACATTTTCTGTGGGTGAGTTGTTTTGCCTCCTTTATTTTGTCTGAAAAGTAAGATAATAAAAATGACTGACTACAAGCCGAGTGCAGTGGCCACACTGGTAATTCAGGTATTAAGGAGGCTGAGGCAGGAGGATCTCAAGTTCAAGGCCAGCCTGGACAATTTAGCAAGACCCTGTCTCAAAACAAAAATAAAAAAAAAAAAAGAGGGGCTGGGGCTGGGGCTGTAGCTCAGTGGCAGAGCACTTGCCATGCTACAGTGAGGCACTGGGTTCGATCCTCAGCATCACATAAAAATAAAAATATAAAATAAAGGCATTCTGTCTATCTACAACTACCAAAGAAAAAGAAAGAAAAGAAAAAAGACAGGGCTTGGGGTGCAGCTCAGTGGTAGAGCACTTGCCTAGCATGCTCAAGGTCCTAGTTTCAATCCCTAGCACCACAAGAAAACAAAAAATAACTCTATACATGTTCACTGTCCTGGTCATTAGTCCCAGATAAATAGCACACTGGAGGGGAGACACAAAGTCTTGAAAGGGAAGTTGTGAGAAAAGACTTGTGGCCTGAATGCAGAATAAAAAGGCAGTGACTGGAAAGACTCATGATAGAAATGACTTAGTAACTAGAAATCTTCAGAAGGGGCCTGGGGGGATGAAGATGATCCATGAAGGCAGGAAAAGAAAACCTCAAACATTGTGCCTTAGACAAGGTAGAGCACCCAAATCTCAGTGAGGACCACAAAAGCTGGAATCACACTCAGCATGAGGAAAGTATTTTTTCCAGTCTCACAATGCATTCAGCTAAACATGTTTTTATTTGCTCCAGGAAACTGAGGGTTCTTTATTCATTCTGTAAAATTTTTCTTTCTTTTTTTTTTTTTTTTTGTGGTGCTGGGGATTGAACCCAAGGCCTTGTGCATGCAAGGCAAGCATTCTACCAACTGAGCTATATCCCCAACCCCCCTGTAATATTTTTTATTATTGAGAGAAGAATATTTCTTTCCTTTCATGAAAGAGAAATATTTCTCAGTTACTAAGTTGAATATGAAGGTTTTTTTTGTTTTTGTTTTTGTTTTTTTTTAAAGAGAGAGTGAGAGAAGAGAGAATGTTAATATTTATTTTTTAGTTATCGGCGGACACAACATCTTTGTTTGTATGTGGTGCTGAGGATGGAACCCGGGCCGCACACATGCCAGGCGAGTGCACTACTGCTTGAGCCACATCCCCAGCCCTGAATATGAAGTTATAAAAATCCTCTGGCTCTATGTATTTGAGTAAGATTCTGTTCTCAAGTCATGAGGGTCAGAGTGAGGAAGGATTTCGGATTTCAGGCACTGCTGGTGGGAATTTATTGGTGCAGCTGTGGTGAAGGACACATCAGTGATATCTGTTAAACCCTTATAAACCTTTGCCCCAGTAATTCCACTCCTGGAAATTTATCCTAAACAAACTCATGTTCAATCATACAAAGATATATATAAGGGGGGAACCAAGAGAATCAGGTGCAACACTTAACTGTTGCAGACCATCGACCTTAAAGAAATTCCAATTGTCTTTATCCTGGCCAGATCATGTCTGTAGGTAGCCGGGGAAGTCTCTAGAAAAGGGGATCATTGTGATCATGTTCCATTATTGGCACTCTGAATATGTGTGTCAGTTACTGGAAGAGAATCCTGATGTCACTGTGGGTCCCCAGGTGAGGCAGCGCCACTTCATAGAGAGAGTCCAGACACCCGTAGGATCTCAGTTGTGTAAAATAAAAGACTCACGCCTCCCATTTGCACTTAGGCACTAGTTCCTCTTTTGCACAGCTGGATATTTGCAATTATGTTCTGTGTCGGGCAATCTGCAAAATAATAAAACAGAGGGGAAGAAAAGATTTGTATGAGGTTGTATGATTGTTAGAGTTTGGACTCTAAAGCCAGCCAGTCTGGATTTTGTATGCTAGTCCTGCTGCTAATGAGCTGTATGGCCTCGGGAAAATCACTTATTCTCTTTGTGCCTCAGTTGTCTCATCTGTAAATGGGTAAGACAATAGTGCTTATTCCATAGGTATGGTAGGTTTAATAATGCCCCCCCAAAGACATTCACTTACTCATACCTGGAACCTGTGAATATGGTACCTCACATTGTAAAAGAGACTTCACAAATGTGATGGAGTTAAGGATTTTGAGATGGGAAGATTATCCTGATTTTTCAAGTGGGCCTGATAGAGTCACAAGGGTCGCCATAAGGGGAAAGCAGGATGATCATAGTGGGTAGGAGATGTGACCATGGGAGCACGAGGGTGGAATGAAGTGAGGAAGGGGTCATAAGCTGATGCAGGTGGTCTCTACAAGCAGGAAAATACAAGGAATCAGACTTTCCCCCAGAACCCTCAGAAGGAACATAGCCCTGCTGCCATCTTCATTTTAGACTTCTGACCCTGGAACTGCATGATAATAAATGTGTGTTGTTGGTGGCACTGTCGGCCATGTTTGTTACAGCAGACCCAGGAGACTAGTATAGTAGGCATATTGAGGATTCAGGAGTTAACACACGTAATTTCTTAGAACAGTGTGTAGCACATAGTGAGTGCTTCATAAATGCCGACTTTTATGTGACTCATAGACTACTTTTTTTTTTTTTTTTTTTAGTACTGGGGATTGAACTCAGGAGCACTCAACCACTGAGTCACACCCCCAGCCCTATTTTGAATTTTATTTAGAGACAGGGTCTCACTGAGTTGCTTGGATCCTTGCTAAAATGCTGAGGCTGGCTTTGAACTTGTGATCCTCCTGCCTCAACCTCCTGAGCCTCTGGGATTACAGGCGAGTGCCACTGCACCTACACAGGACTATTTTTAACAATGGAAAATTGGAACAATCCAAATAACCAGCAGGAGTGGAAATTCAAATCTGCATCTATGGAACTGCAGCAAATCAATGAGGCCAACTGGAGCTGTTTCCGGTGCAGAGCTGATGAAGATGGTAGCAATGGTGGTGGTGGTGCTGCTGCTGACGCTTTTCAAGTCCTCCCTCATGTCAGGCACGGAACTCAGCATCATCCCTGCAACACTTCTGTTGATCCTCATAACATTATGGGATAGAGAGTTCTGTCGGTCTGAGTCCAAGCAGGTGA